CAACACATCCCTTCCCCAACTTCCCCTCCCCCCCTTTCCCCCTTTCCCTGTCCCAAATTGATCACCGACACAAAAACTCATTTCAATCATCAGATAGGACTTCCCGGAAACTCCTCACGCCATTCCCACCAACACTCAAATCCCCGCTTCCAGTTCTCCTCAGCGCCTGCGTCATAGTCTCGATGGCGATCTCCCCCCCGTTGGCCGGGACCGGCGAAAGCGACATGCTCATCATGCTGGTGGGGCTGCCGAGGGACTTGCCGCCGGTGCCGGAGGGCGACGACGCTCTCGCCCGCGCCGCGGCCTCCAGGCCGCCCTTGACCGACCCGCTCTTGCTCAGCGGCGGGCTCACGCCGCCGGGGCCGCCGCCGCCGGCCGAGGAGACGGGCGAGCGGATGGGGGAGGGGGAGCGGTTGTGGTTGGCCGAGGCGAAGGAGGTCAGCCCCGCCAGGTGTATGCTGTCGCGCGAGGGGCTGCCGGCGGAGAAGCCGCCGTGCTCGGCTTGGACGACGTCGGCGAAGGAGATGAAGGACAGGCGGCGGACGTCGGTGGTATCAAAGCTGCCGTAGTTGGAAGCCGTATCGGCAGTGGTGGTGGTGGTGGTAGCCGAGAAGGCGGCAAGCTCGTCGGCCCAGGAAGGCTCGGCATAGGGGCTCAGGCCGGTTACGTTGACCGAGGCGGGTTGATGGGAGGTGTGGGTGATGATCTCGACGGTGTCCGGATTGAGGTGGTCGTCGGTAATGGCTTCGGAGGAGGCGTCGAGGACCGGGGGGATGTAATTCTCGGTTTGGATGTGCGAGGGGATGGCGGGGGAGCTGGGCATCAGCGCGGCGCTGCTTTCTTGGACGTTGCGCTCGAAAATCTGGCTGCCGGCGGGCGAGGCAAGGCGTGGGGAGGAGCCAAAGCCTGCGCGGCCTGGAGAAGAAGGGGAGAACCGGGCGCGGTCGGTTTGGATGGGGGAAGTGGCCGTGGTACGAGTTGTCGCGGGGGTAGGTTTGCTGGTGGGAGCAGGCTGGGCAGGCTCCTTCTTCTTACCGAAACCAAAAAGGCTGCGCTTCTTTTTCTTCTTCTCATCACCTTCGGCGGCTTTTGACGCCTCCCTCCGGGCTAACAGTTCCGACTCGCTCTGACCTTGGGCGTTAATTTCGCCTCGTTCTGTAATCAACGGCTCGGCCAGTGTGGGAATTGCGGTGCTACCCTGGGCGGGCGCTGCGGTCGCGAGACTCATCTTGTCGCGATAGGTGTGTGGTGAGGGCGAAGTGGGGGATCGCGGAGAGATGGGGTAAGTCGGGTTCAAGTTTGCGTCCACGTCTGTTAGGAAAGGTGGAGCTGTTAGCGATGCCGTTCCCCCGACGGGGAATGGGGTTGAGTGGGTGATGGATGATAACTGGAGATAGTATGCGGGTGGTGGAACGAGGGGGGGTGTTGTGACAAGGTGAAGACAATATGTGTGCGACTGGTGGACAGATTTCCCGATTCGCCGCGAATATATCGACGATAAAGTGCGTCTCTGTCTGGAACCAATAACCACGGAATAGAGTGCGGTCGTACCTTGGCTCTAGGCCCGGGCTCGGTGCGACGCGGGGACAGCTGAGCGACCGAGAAAAACCGGGTGTGGTGAGGGTTGATGCTTTCTGGTTTCTGTTTGGAGCACAATGGTTGGTGCCTTTCTGGACGGGCTTCGGGTCTGGCGCAAAAGTGTGATGCAGGTTGCAGGAAGACGCGGCTTTCCCGGTTCCTGAATCCCCCGTACCGCCCTGGTCTCCGTCTCTCGTGTTTCTGGTCTTTCTTTCGCTTGCCGGATCCGGGTCGGTCAGTTCCGTTGGGGGGGTAAACGCGGCGGCAAGGTGATGGGGATCGGGATGCGCGAGGGAGAAGTGTGGATCGAGAAGTAGAAGTAACTACTTAGATCAGGATGCGGGCGTGTTAGTTATTATAAATCGCAAAAGGGATTGGATGGATTGTCTCGTCACTTTGCTTTGTCCTCGGGGCAGCCACGAAGCGAAGGACAGGCGACCCGGTGACCTCCGGACGCAAATCGCGATCAACAGGGAATGACGCTGTTTGGTAGCGCTCCCAGGCTGAAAGAGGGGTGTGATTCAGTTCGGTCGGTCCCTTAACGACGTATTGCAGGCCCACCCAAGCACAGCTGCCAAGACGAGCAAGACCTAAAACGGGTGCTGGAATGAAGTGGAATCTTTGGACTCGCTTGCACTTTTTCCGTACGTTGCAGGTAGGTTCAGTAGGTTAGGTTGACAGACTCCGATCCCACCTAGGTACATACACAACAGGTCAGGTACCTTATGTAGGTCTGTAAGGTAAGGTAGGTCTCAGATGTCGCCGTGTTCGGGTGTCTTAGCAGGTCAAATATGCAGGTGCATACAAACAAGTACGACTGCTTCAGGCATTAATTCTAATATTGCAGGCCCCTGACTGCGCCCCAGCAGCCAACCTACCTCAGACCCGGCCGAAACCGACCTTCGGTTGTTAGCATCGACCTTCGGATTCTCTCTTACACGCTCGCAGGGATCTTATGGGACCACACCGGATCTTGGAAATAGGCAAGGGGCAGGCTGACGCAAGCATCGCAGTTTCTGCTCTGGAGCATGTATATGTTCGTATGTCTGTCCGCATGTATGTACACGCACATGTGCCCGCATCTTGGGCGCAGGCTGGGTATCACCACAGAGAACCACCTAGTATCCCCTCCCGTACCGTGAAGCATCCATCTCATACGTCCGTTGTTGCGGGTCCATCTCGAACGCCTGCGCCTGGGGATCCATTTCATGATAGACGCGCGAATCCGCCTCATGATAATAACCAGGCGTGTTGTTATTTATCTCGACCGGCAGACCTCGAGGATCCATTTCGACAGGTGAGCGGGGTGACGACAGTTCGGTGTGGCCGTGGGGAGCGTCGGCCTCCGGAACCCCTGGGTACTTGATCTCGCCAGCTCCATCGGTGCTGTTGTCCTGGATCGAGCCGACCAACGTGCCCTGCTTGCGACGTCGGAGGAATATCCACACGGCCACTGCGATCAAGGCCAGTCCCCCAATGCCGCCCACAACCCCTCCAACGATGGCGCCAACCGGAGTGCTTGAGGACTCTGGTTCGCCTGTCGAGGTGGGATCGGGGCCGCCGGATCCAGTAGGTGAGGGCCCCGAACTTTGTGCTAGGGGGGAAAATCAGCATGCGTGCCCCAGATATATGGTTCTAGACATGTCATGATCACTTACTGGAGCTAGGCGGCGTGGTGGACCTGCGCGCAAACAATCGCCGTACTTCCTCCGAGGACCAATCGACCTGATCGAACGACCTATGATCCCGTTAGCTAGACGCTCGGGCACGAAACCCTTAGAGCCCGAGCAAAGCTGCGGAATGCCTACCCGTTGTTATACCAAGTCTCGAGAACGCTGGGTCTCTCATATGCCCCCGCAGCCGCATCATACGAGTCCTTCCACTGCATGTCCGTCATGTCAAATAAGAGCATCCCGTTGGGTGCCGGGTCATCAGTGAGCTTCCAGACATCCTTTCCAAACAGGCTGAGCACCTGCCGGCCGCCTATTTGCACGCATGTGGCATCCCCTCGCGCGCTGTACGGCATGTTTGGGGCCTTTCTCCATACAAACCCCGGCAGGCTCAAGACGTATGCGTCCTGGTAGGTGAACAAGTCGCGTCGGTTGACTCCGCCAGCGAGGAAGCTGAGAAGGTTGTCAGCGACTTCGCGCGCTTTATTAAGACCCAGGTAATAACTCACATATCGTAGCCGCCATCAGCAGTCTTGATAATAGCCGTGCATGCTTGTATCCGTGGCGAAGGAGGAATATCACCGCTCGTCAGCTGCCAGTAAGTCTTCTTTGTCACAGGATTGAAGAAAGTGAGGTTGTAAAAGTCCAGGGCTGGCACCTTGCCGTCCCAGCGGCCCACTAACGAAGGGGTGAGCCCGCCAAGCGTGATGATCACGCCGTCGACTCCGAAGGACGGGAGATAGTGAGCGCTCGCCCCAACCAACGTGCCAAAGGGACTGTTGTCCGTCTCATTCGTCCACACGCGCGACGCCATGTTGAACGTCACCATCCCCCCTAGGACCTGAGTTGAACCGTTGCGGTCGGGTTCCGAGAATCTTTGGATCTCCCCGCCGATCACGAACGCTGTATTGTCTGTATTTGCGGACGCAGCCAACGTGCCGGAATGGATGTCGGCGAAAGCCCCCCCGTTCGCAGGTTTCACAATCGACCATTCTCCCCCACCCTCGCCGTCGGCCGTGAATTTCCAGAGCTCGGGTTCTGTAATATTTTCATGCACACTCGGCGGAAACTCGCCGCCCCATGAGTAGAATTCTCCAGCCTGACTGTCCGTCCACAGGACTAAGCTGGACTTTAACGGGCCAGTTTTCTTGATCGAACGGATCGAGACATCGCTGGTAGTCCACGACCGGCTAATGTCGATGGAGAGCGTGGATTCGACCGCAATTCCTGGAGGCGTTTCTTCAGCACTTCCCAACACCCAAAACCCGACCTCTTGAAAAATCGGTGGATCTTCATGGATCGGGAGGCGGGATGGGGCAGTCGATCGCGTACCTTCACGGACCCGATTCACCGACCATTGCGAGAGCTCGCCCCCGTCAACGTAGACATAGTCGCCTAGTACGGTCGCTTTTTCTCTGTCAGAATGTCACGCGAACAAGAAGAAAGCGCCAGGGGAGAGAGACCGGCCGACTTTTCTCGAACGAGAAAGGTGTTGCGCGCAGGCACTTCCAGGACCGCGACAGCAAAGGCACAACACAAGCCGAGAAAGACGAGCAGAGTCGGCATTGGCCGTCGCTCAGGAGAAGACATGGTGGGAGGGCGTCCAACGCAACATCAAGGGGCCGGGAAACGTGCGGATGAGTACATCGACAATGATTTTTCCCAAGATGGGAGGGGAGAGAGCAAAAGGCAGATTCCGAGGTCTTGCCCCTGTGGAGCTGCTGTCAGACGGTAACATCGATAATCAAGGACGGGAACGATTGACCTGCGCTCCAAAGCACTGTATTGGGGGCCCAAGATTCGCCCAGATTTGCTTGTGTTGCATCAGCGCAAACCACTCCAACGTTACCTCTCCAAAGAAGACCCTTGCCGACATTGTTTCGCAGTCAGCCTGCTCCTTGGCGCTAGTTAGATTGTTAACCGTTCGCTTCCTAGTGTAGGTCGTTTTTAGCCAAGCTGGCGCGAAGCATGTGGATGTGGGATATCGAGAAGACGCGAGGGGTTAGGGGGGAGACCAAAATACGACGCTGCGCCTGCCTTGTCGCCTACCGCGGTCTGTGGTTGGCTGCTTTGGGCTGAGCGGAAGTTGCAGGATTCGGTTTGACGATCGCAGAAGGTGCACCGGCACCGACGGCTCAAGGCAAACCAGCAAAAACAAGTCCTCTTGGTCTACGGCTCTTTTCTCAGCGCAATTAGTCAAGACCACAGAGACTGATGACATTGTTGCCCCAAGGGCATAGTTTATAGGAAATAATAGAATCTCCCGTTTCGTTTCGATATATCAATCCCAGCAACGCCTCCCGGCTTTAGCCAATTTTTATAGCATTCCACTTGCACTTCTCAGAAGTATGTATGTACAATAGGTTGCCCATTATAACGAGCAAAGAGCCGGATGCCGTCCGCCGTTCATCCCGACCCATGGCCGGCCCGAGCCGGTTCAACCAAGCTCCACTCGGCCGGAGGCACGGAGGCATAAACCCGGCGCTACCATGATTGGCTTGGGGAACCGGAGTGGACCAAAAGAATCTCAAAATTCACGTGACAACTTCCGCCGACGCCCAAGAAAAAGTTGATTCGCATCGCGACTCCAAACCGCACTTGTCGAGAGCGAAGGAGGTGGACGGCGGCCCCGACAGCACACCAGACAAGCCAATTCCGAATTGCAGCTGCCCCATCGCTCCCTCTCCTTCTTTATCGCCAGTCGACAGTTTTGTGCCCATCCACGTCGAAGGATCCGCCTTTCCCGTACTTGGCTCCTTCTCTGCGATCCAATTCCCCGACCGACCACCATGGAGACCATTGTAACAAGGCCGGCAGTCTCCTGCTGCCGGCAGGTCGTCCTCTCGGCCCCGGTATCTTCCCGGCTCGTTCTGAGCGGCACCACCGCCGTCCCCTCGGGCGTCCGCCAGAAATCGACGTCCGCACGCACACGCCGAGCGCTCAACATCCCCCCGCACGGGTCCTTCCTCAACCCCAACAGCAGCGCCGCCGACCGCAACGCCCGCCCCACCACGGGACAAATCATCTACAACCCCCCCTCCTCCGCCGCCTCCGTCTTCCACACGCCCTTCAAGTTCCTCCCCAAGCAAGACCCGCGGCGGCGCGCCAACCTCGCCTCGGAACTCTTCGCCGCCTCCACCACCATCAACTACCCCTCCCCCGCCAACAACCCCACCCACCACCAACCAACACCGCCCGACAGCACATCACCATCCTCCCCATCACCAACGGACCTCTTCCCCTCCATTGAAGGCGAGCCGCGCTACCGGGCGCGGCACCACCTGACCAAGGCCGATATCGAGGAGATGCGGCGGCTGCGCGCGGCGGACCCCGTCGCCAACAGCGTGCAGAACCTGTCGATGCGCTTCCGCTGCAGCAAGCTGTTTGTGCTCATGTGCTGCCAGGCGCCCAGCGGCCACCGCGAGAAGGTGCAGGCCGAGCTGGAGGCCACCAAGGCGCGCTGGGGCCCGCGCCGCGCGGCCGCGCGGGACGAGCGCAGGGCGAGGATGGGCATGCTGTTTAGGGGCGAGTTGTAGAGTGTGTGTGGTTGCTGTGGCTGTGGCTTTGTCCTGCGGGCGGATAGGGTTGGATGGATGGGGTGGGAGTACCTAGGGGAGGGTAGGTGGTTATGGGCGAAGGCCGGTCCGCTATGATGATGCCAGTGCTGCTGGCACTGGCGAGGCGGGCTTGTTGGTGACGGGGGGGACAGACACTGCATCTAACAGAGTGCGGTGTCTCGGGTGGTGTTCTGAGCGGAAGCTTTGCAACAAATAGGCACGATCCAAATAGTCACGATTTGGGAAGACGGAAATGTTCACTGTACGAGCACTGGAGGGCAAGCATTCGGCGGTCAACGGCGGGCATGGGCGGATCTGTAGGACAGCAAAAATGGGGACGATGGCTGGTGTTGCTAGCCTCCCACTGTATAATGCAAAATGTACCTTGTATATTCCTCTCGACGCTGAATCACCGCCGCCTGTTGCTGGATGGCCCTGTCTCGGTCCTACAATCGTGTTGCTGAAGAAAGAACTAATTGAAAGTAGCAGCGAGTTCGAGGTCACACTCGGCATATTCCCCTATCCCCGTTCGTAAGGTGGAAAAGCGTAATTCCGTGCCGTCCCGCATCAAACAAGCCGTCACCCTTCCGAACCCTCCTTGGCCTTGCCCTTCCCCTTTCTATCCGCCTGTCTATCCATTTCATAGTCCTTGCATGACGGGATGACCCGCCGACACCAACCACACCAACTCCGGCGCTTCCCCTGAACCTCGCGCCCCAGGATCTCCCCCCTCGCCCGCTCATCATCCCACTCGGGCACGCACGCGCCCACCTTCACCATCCGCACCCGCATATTCTTCATGACCCCGCCAATCCCCTCCACCTCGTGTCTCTCATACCCCGGTTTTATGGCAGGGCTGGGCGTTCTCCTGTCCTGAACCGATGCGCCAGACGAGCTGACCAGGCTACTAAGGCTGGCCGAGCTACTGCCGGCCCCGCTCATGGCAGCCGTCCAAGGCGCCAGGGATGGCGTGCCAGTGCTGCTGCCACCACTGGGCGGGGTCGCCGCGGCCAGCTGGAAGTACTCAGCATCGCGCGCGTCCTCGGCGTCACCGTCCATCTCCTGCTCGCGCTCCCGCGCCGCGCAGCACTCAGTCTCGCGCCCGCAGATGACGCCGCGGTCGCCTTCACCGATGCCCGTGCCAAGACCGCCGTGAATCTGGGTGTATTGGTTCCGCCATCGCCAGATGCTGGTGCAGAGTGTCAGTGAACAAAAAATGGGAAGGACGGAGATGGGATGAGTTACCCCCTGTATTCGGAGTCATCGCCGCGGATGGACCTCCCACAGGGCTGGCAAAGCCAGACACCTCCAGAACCGCACCCGCAGATCGCCCGTTCCATGTCGTCGGAATCAATCCGAATCTCTGGCCCGAGCCGCGGCTTGACCAGCGAGCCAAGGGGTGCTGCCACGCATGGCCCGCAGAGACGCCGGTGACGGTCCCGCAACACGATAGGCGCCGGAGGTTTTATAGCACAGTTCTAAGAGGGCAAGTTAATTGCGTGTTTACCGAAGTGATCCATTGTTGGTTCAGGCTCACCCTACAAACCACGACGCCGCACCGCCGACACCCGGCCACCATGTCTCGAGCACACCGGCCCGACTTGCCATTATAGCTCGATCTGCCCGCATCCTGCATGTAATACCAGTTGCTAGCCCGGGCCCGGTATCTAAATGTGTCTTCCGGGTCGACGGGGGCCTGCGCGTTGATGCAATGCATGGTTGAGACGAGCAGCATTGTGCGGTACTGCAGCAACCCCTGGCGGATCTGGCGGCAGGTCCGCGACAGGTTATCGAGCGTATTGAGGTCAATGGAAGCGGCAATCGACATGGCGATGCTGGTCATCGAGTCAGCAAAGTTGCCCTTGGCAGAACTAAAACTGCCAAGGGGTTGATGATTTCATGCAGCTGAGAGGATGCATGCAGGGTGGTGTAGCCTACGGATAGCATCCCAAGGCCTGTGTCATGGAGTTCTGGTTGGGATTCTCTCTAGCAGCGAGCCCGTGAGCCTTCTCGCGTTCCTCCCACGTAGCATTGCCGGCGCCGATGCCTCCATCGCCAGGAAGATTTAAACCTGCCGCCGATACCGGTACTGGCTTGAGGGCGTCAATTGGGCCGTTCCACACCGGCTGGCCGTCTTGAGGAGACTCATTGTCGTCCTCGCCCAAGTCCACAAACACGGCCATGCTGGGAGATGCTGTGCGATGTAGAATTACGAGAAATCGTATCGGTGTGACAACCCAAATGTTGCCTCGATAGACCCGGGCTCTGTGTACCTCGACCTGAAAACGCTGATCACAAATGAAATGGTACTAAGAGACAGCAAGTGCTCAAAAGAGGGATCATAAAATTGAAGAAACCAGTTGGGTGGTCATCGTAGTGATGAGCTGACTGGCTTGATGCCAGTTTGGCGTGTTGAATGCTGGCAAGTTGTCTTCGAGGAAGTTGCTTCCCGAACGCCGAAGCTTGATATGCTGCTTACCAGGTGGCAGCGACCCCGCCTCCCCACAGTTAAGACTTTGGCTGGCAGTTTCTTGTAAACACTAACAAAACCGACACCGCCGCTCGAGATAGACCGCTGCATTCGGCCATGTGACGTTTTTGTTCTTTCCATCTCAATCGCCAAATTGTTCGTCTCGAGTCTCCATCGCGATGATTTCGGCATCCAGTTATATCGTGCCCCTCCGTTTTTTTGTCCACGGCCGATCTCAACGTGATGGATCAATCTGAATAATACCGTTTCTCTCGGAGCGATTGGAACTGGCCAAAAACTCCCGAAAGGCTAGCCTGTTGAATTCATGGATTTGTTCTGGAAATATGCCAATGGATTCTCCTGTCACTTTTTACCTGGAAAAATAGTATTGCGTCTAAAGTATCGAGTTCTGGTCATATCTTCCAGCTCATCGTCGGTGGGGTTTCGGAGATGCGATATATCCGGCGGTCAGGTATGAATTGGGCGGTGATGGGCGACGCCGATGAAAGATAACTAATAACTCTACAATAGTTTTCTGCAAGTCCGTCGTCTCGAGACACCAGACGTGTATCAGCTGTATCAGTGGAGCCATGATGAGAACGGCTCACAGGCCCAATGATAACGGCTTTGGCAACCTTTTTTTCAACACGACCACGGCGATCCTTGGCAGCCCCGCGTCGTCTATCTTTAGCCAGCGATTGTCGATCTTTTCCGCGCGGAGAGTAGCGAGGATTCAAAGACGGCACGAGTCGACGAATACGACGTGACATCAGAAAAGCGAGATGTTGTGCGCCTGCAACCATGGAAGAACCGAGACATCCATAATACTGATCACATTTGACGCCTTGCGCTGGGTGGGAAGTTTTTCTCAGAAATGAACACCAACAAACAGGCATCAGCCGCGGCGCCGCGTGGGGGGTTTCAGAGCCGCAGTGTCGTCTTCGCCGTGGTTGGACGCTCTCCTGAAGTGGCGTTCAAGAAAGGGTTGCAGGCCATGCGATCGTGGGGTGACAGTTACATTCGCGCTGACATTCCGATCTCGAGACGGGTTTGAGCCTTCACTTGGAGAAAACGAAGGCAAAGAGCCCCCCCCCCATCCTTCATGCATTGGGGCATTGGGGTTGTCGCTGGCGCTGGCCGGAGTCTCCCCGAGCAGAGCTGAAGTCTTCAGTTCTCTGTTTTGCTCGATTCTGCTATCCGTGACAGCACACAGACTTGCCCCTGGCCAACCAAAATGAGGGCATCGTTTACTGGTGCGGTCGGTCGTCCGCATCCAGCTATGTGGGGCATGGCGTGGTAGGGGGTATTCGTTTTTTTTTTTTCGCGCAACCATGCTTCTCTTCTTTCTCTCGCCGGGAGACAGACGTGCAGCTCAGGTTACCTAGCGCTCTGACAACGCAACAAGAAGTGCAGAGAGGGCCGCGTTTGCGGCTTCTGGCGCCCCCCTGTCTAGGAAACGATCGACAAGCCCTGCAAGAGCAATGGGTGTTGCGATCTCAGAGATAACCGCTAGTTTCTTCCGCATCGGGAATGGACGGCGGGCCAGATCACAACGCAACCATGCAGTGGCCAGGGGTCGAGACGCTTCGGAGAGTTGAGAGGCTGAAATATTCACTTCTTTCCGGACTGGGCCGTGGTCGTGGAGCTCCGGCATCGACGGGAGCGGAGCTCGAAAATCCAGAACATTTGCTAGCTGAGGAGCTGAGTCCTGCAGGGCAGGGGAGGACCTGACGAACCAACGCAAAAGTCTCGGTCGACCCAGCGCCGTGGAGTTTTTGCCACAGGATATTCCCTGCTTTGTCGCAAGTGCCGTGGTGCCGCCGTCGTGAACGGAAAACGACGACGAGACGGCCATGAACGAGGCGCCGAAACATCCTAGGTTAGAACTTAGCGCCAGTCTGACAGAAAGCGAGACAGGCGGCTTTTTCCAACGTCTTGCTTGGCGAACCCAAGGACTTCTTCTGTCGAAGCAGCCACAAAAGTAATTAACGGCCACGGTAAAACGGCAAGCTATTGATGGCTTCGGGCGTCCTTGGCTGCAGCACCCGTTCAGCTGGTCCAGTTCCCTTTTCGTGAACGCCATCTGGCCCCGATGCGGGTAGGGCCTCGAGCCTCCTCCCAGCGCTAACGAGTGACTTTCACAGGGGTACCCTCATATCCCGGATGAACCTGCACGGCACACCCAGCTACCCGGCTCGCTTCTTTTCCTCTTCCCTTTAGCTTCCACACCTGTCGATCACCCGTTCCCAGTTCTCTGGTTCCCGTTTGTCTTCCCCCTACCTGAGGATCTTCCCAGAGCGGCCCACGGCAACGGGGAGGTGTAATTGTTTGAGAGACGCGCTCAAGTTGAAGCAGAGGTGACAGGGTGTTCCGGGACTCACCCTCGCCAAGGCAGCCAGCCATTGCGTTCTCGACCCGGTCCAATCGTTACCAACATGAAAAAATTCAAATCGTACCTCACCCCTACGACATCGGAGGAGGAGCAGAAGGGAAGCAATGGGGGGACACAGGCAGCAGGCGCTCGGTCCCAGGGATCGCATCAGCTCCAACCTATCCAACCACAAGGGAAGGACTCCAGGTTAGCAGCCGGCGCACCTCCACCACCAACAGCCGGCTCCGAGACCGTCCCACCTTCCGCCCAGGGGAGTATGCTCTCCGTACCGGGCGCGGCCCTCTCAGTAACCCACCAACATGGCCGCCAGACGCCCGAGACGGCCAAAACCAGCCCGCACACCTCCCGGGCCCCGTCGCTCCGCCACTCCTTCCTCCCGGCGCACGACGCCCGCAGCCGCGACTCGGAGACCATCAACGAGATCCGCAACGACATGATGGTCAACTGGCTGTACGAGCAGCAGCTGCGCAAGCAGTACGCGTCCGGGGCGGACCCCTACGAAGGCGTGGTGCTGAAGAAGGCCCGCGGCGCCTTCGCTTGCTGCCCGCCGCAGATGGCCGCCATCCCGGACTCGCTGTTCGCCGTCGTCGCCCAGATGAACGTGCGCTGCGCCATGACCGTCAACACCCCCGTCGTCCGCGCCCTGCTCGACTCCATCATCCACAAGACCGACCTCGACTACGTCCCTCTGCCGGACGGCCTGCGCGTGCAGGTGCTGCGCACCATGGCTGACCTGCCCCGCGGCCAGCTGCATCATTTCGCGGCATTTGTCGAGGATGCGCGCATGCTGGTCGTGTGGGACGACGAGCCGGAGAAGTTGCTGAGTAGGGTGCAGACTCTCGAGGCCAGGTTTATTGAGATCATCTGGGGCAATGGGGATGATGAGGGCGAGGAGGATGATGCCGGCGGGGAGAAGAAGGGCGGCGCCGCGGTCGCCGTGCAGGAGCTGGATCCGGGTCAGCTCGAGGAGGCGTTGGCTGGGGAGAGGAGGCCGGTGAGGCTGGAGAGTGCGTTCATGGTCGGGCTTACGTTGGCACTTTGGATCGTGTGTCCTGCGCTGGGCTGGAGGTGGTTGGCGTACCAGAGCGTGGTCGACGGGACGTATCTGAGGTTCGCATTGCTGGCTTCGGCTCCGGCGCAGTTGTTCGTCAGCTTGGTGAGTGCTACCGCCCTTCGGCCACCCAGGGGCTTTTGCTAACTGTGTTCAGTTCTTCTTTCAATCCATCATCACCAGTCTGTTCCAAGTCTTCGGGCCCATTTCAGCTGTGGCCAACAACAGCAAGTACTATAGCGGCAAGCCCCCTCAACGGATAAACCGCGACCAGGGGACGCTGCCGCACGTCACCATTCAGATGCCCGTGTACAAGGAAGGCCTCACAGCCGTCATCAAGCCCACGGTTGTCTCGCTGAAAGCGGCCATCAGCACCTACGAGATGCAGGGCGGCTCGGCCAACATCTTTGTCAACGACGACGGCATGCAACTCATTTCGGACGAGGATGCCCAAGCCCGCCGTGACTTCTACGACGAACACAACATCGGCTGGGTCGCACGCCCCGCGCATAACCCCAATCCCGAGGCCGGCTCCGATGAAAAGCGGTTCCTCCGCCGCGGCAAGTTCAAGAAGGCCAGCAACATGAACTATGCCCTGCACGTCAGCAACCGCGTCGAGGATAAGCTGCTTGCCGTCAAGCGTGACAGTAAGTGGAACAACGAGCAGGAGAACGGCGCCTACCAGCAATGTCTCGCCGACGTGTTGCAGGAGGACGAAGGCCGCACCTGGGCCGAAGGGAATATTCGCATTGGCGACTACATCTTGCTTATCGACTCAGATACTCGCGTGCCGCACGATTGTCTGCTGGATGCCGTCAGCGAGATGGAACAGAGCCCGGAGGTGGCTATTCTGCAGTTCCAGTCCGGCGTCATGAACGTTACCAACTCGTTCTTTGAGAATGGGTGAGTAGAAGCCGTCCCCTTTTTGTTGATCGAGAGACATGCTGACATCTCGTAGCGTTACCTGGTTCACCAACCTCATCTACTCCTGCATTACCTTCGCTGTTGCGTCGGGCGACGCCTGCCCTTTCGTCGGCCACAACGCCATCCTCCGGTGGCAAGCTCTCCAAGACGCGGCCGCCTTCACGGACGAGGATGGGTACGAAAAGTACTGGTCCGAATCGCACGTATCGGAGGACTTCGACATGTCGCTCCGTTTGCAGGTCGCTAAGTACACGCTCCGCTACGCCTCGTACACGGGCGACGGTTTCAAGGAGGGCGTCAGCTTGACCGTCTACGACGAGCTTGCCCGCTGGGAGAAGTACGCATACGGCTGCAACGAGCTCCTGTTCCACCCACTGCGATTCTGGCTCGTCCGCGGGCCGTTCACGCCGTTGTTCAAAAAGTTTATCGGCTCTAGCATCCCGTTCCCAAAGAAGATGACTATCATGGCGTACATCGGGACGTACTACGCCATTGCCGCGGCGTGGCTTCTGACGCTGGGCAATTATTTTGTTACCGGCTGGTTTTATGGTCTGTACGACAAGTACTACCTCGACTCGTTCGCTATCTACATCTCCATCATTGTCGTCTTTACTGGGTTGGGTAATCTCGCGTTGGCGGTCCTGCGGTACCGGTTGAGCGAAAGATCGCTACTGTCAGCATGTGCGTCTCCGTCTCCCTTATAACCCTCTTTCTCCATACACTAACTCGCGAGTGCAGACTTTGAGAACATCAAATGGATCCCCATGTTCTGCATCTTCCTCGGCGGCATCTCGCTGCACGTGTCCCAGGCTATCCTATCGCACTTTTTCGAGATCGACATGGCCTGGGGCGCGACGGCCAAGGAGCTCGAGGAGGTGCGCTTCGGCCCGGAGATATGGCGCATTATCCGCCGCTTCAAGTGGACTTTCCTGTACTGCTTCGCCTGCACCGCCCTCATGATATGCGGCAACACCATCTTCCCCGACTTGTGGCGCATCAACACCTTCTATAGCATCTATCCGCTGGCGACTACGGTGGCGTCGCATTTTGCGTTGCCTGTCCTGCTGAACCCGGCGTTGATGATGTTTACTTGGTAGGCGGACTGGATGGGAAAGGGTTATTGGTAATACTAACTTTTCGATTTCTTCGAATTGTCTATTTCTCATGATTATGATTCATCAGCATTAATTGCTAGCCTGTTCGTTAAGGGAGTTAGTTGGGTTATTTTTTGGCACTGGGAAAAGGGAGCCGGTTAGTTTTCTACGAGTTCTGCAAGCAAGCATTCAGCGGCAACATACAACATATAGATTTCCTAGAGCACATGCGACGGTGGACTTACTGGCAATAAATCAACGTTGACTATCCCAGTCTTGTTCTG